AGAGAGAAATACAACATTTATTGCATTATATGACGACATTTGACTATAAAATATTAAGAAAATAGTCCTAATGTAAGCTAAAAGGTAGCCAAGCTTCTCTAAATGTGCTGAGTAAGCTCATGAAATATTATCTTCAATGAAACAAATCTACTTTGGTAGTTAGTCTATACAACGGAGTACAATTAAGGAAGTACAAATGTTCCGGAGTATTTGCAAGAAATCCGTAGTAGCGCGGTGGGTAACGTGGTGTTCGACAAATTGAAAGACAAGCGGCCATCTGGGTTCGAATCAAACGACGGACGTTTCGTATCGTGCTAAGAATCAGCCATCTATTTAATTGCCGGACATAAGATATGAGAAACGGTAAAGCCAACGCATTAACATGTAGCTGCTCTGCATCTTTATCAATAGCTACGCATAGCATACAGCGGGTCTTCTCATGCGAAGCTATTGGCGTATCATATCTTATTTTCAGCACAGAGAAGACAATATAATTAGGTGATCTCCCCTATTTACATTCATGCACATTATGGATGAGAAAAGATACCCGGCTATGCATAGTAATTACCATAATAACATCGATTTAATGAATGCACCAATCAATATGAAGTTTTAAGGCAAAGGGCAAACATAGACGCTATTGTTGAGGATCTTTCGAAACGCGCTGATAGCCACTTTTGTGGCTTGGACGAGCCCGTATTTTACGTTCCTTGAACAAGCCGAGACTTTCTATACACCTTGCCTTATACTGATTTCAATTTGAGGGCCGTCAGAGTATTCGAGGTCTTCAATTGCATTTATTAACTAAATCACTTGTCACCTGGATGTGTAACTGTCTCGAAAACTGACCTTTTCGAAATTAAAAACGTTTTGCTGCTTGCTTGCTTGGACGATGCAAACGTCTGGCCTCGGAACAATTTTATTTCTCATGTTTACTCGAGAGTTAAATGTTTGGACGCCCTGTCCAATAAAGAATAGGCCATATGCCGACGATCCTCCGAGTGTATAAATTTTCTGACACTGTTAGAAAAAGATTAACGTTACAAATGGCTTTAGATATGTGGTTCGATAGTGTGAACAAAGCTAACTAATAATATTTCATCACAATATATTGTCCTGCACTCAGCATATAAGTGGTCATGCGTTTAATTGAAATAGAGGAGTTTTCGCGGTTAAGTCAGGAAGAAATACTCTTGTTTTTGTAACACTCACTTTGGATTTCAGCTTAGCCCTATTACACTGACGGTTCAGTATGCGTTCCTTTTGTGATACTGCTTCCCTGTCCTATCATTAAAAAACATTAATCTTTGAGGTTTACTTTTCCTGCACCATATTTACTGCGATGAAGCTCGATGGCCCTACCTGGACCGACATGTCGGAGATATTGAGCGGGTACAGTTCAAATTTAGTTGGCGCATGACACGAAAATCGTATTTTAACCTGCGTCTGGATGTTCTCAGGAAAAAGCTAGCTATAGCATTTATTGCAATGGCTAGAACATGAATAAAATTCATTAGGTACTTAATCTAAAAATATACAATACAGGCACCTCCTTTCGTGTTATCCTTCACACAACAAAGGCCTTCTTAACAAACTGGTGTGATTTTATTTTACTGAATACTAGGACTGCTTGTCCAGTTGACTTCTACGATGAACAACGCGGCCTGCCGAAAGGGATGAGCTCCATCTAATCGTATCAGGTCGTCCACACAACCTTCGAAAATGAATAGACTTTTTGGACTTCTTGGTGTCTGATAAAAATAAAAGATACTTCCTAGTACGTATCTCTAGAATTACTCTTTGTTGGTTCCCACTACTGCAAAAAAAGGCCTAGGTATATCCCCTCTAAGTTCTGGTTAAGTAACGTGATGATTTCGTGACGGCTAGCTATGTTTATATCTAATTTATCTTCTCATTACTTTCCACATTTATAGTTGCTTTCATAAAACCGCTAGAAATAACCAAGATAATTAAAACAATGTAGGTTTTTCTGAACTGTGGATATTATTTATTTATCCGCTTTTTTTTTTTTTTAGTGTGAATAACGAATATTTACAATCGAACATCGGGAATCGATTCTTTCTTTTACTCACTTCAGAGGGCCGCATCTCCCATCCAAGCATCGTCATTGTATATCAGTTTCAGCATTCTCGTCGTCGCCATCTTCATTTAGGGCTACTTTCCTTCGTTGTTTCGTCTTCCAAGTAATACTGGCTTTGTTGTACGCAATACGGTGAAATTCGGTGAAGGAAAGGCCAGGAAATAACTGACAAAGCCTTGTACAACTTCGTACCTCGTACTTCTCTGCCATCCCCACTTCAACTCACAAATCGTTATTATCACCTACCGTAATCTTTTTTTAAATCCTTGTTTTTGCCCGTTCGTATTAACACCTTATATCAACTTGCCTATATCTCATTTAGCTTATCATAGGTATACAATCACATCCTTGATGGACTAGCATGTATGTCTGGTGCATTCGCAATGCAGTATGCGGTACTACGACTGATCCAATAAAGGTCTTTGCTGCTATGCAGTTGTCGTCCACGTTCTAGTTGTAACTTCTTTTCCCAGTTCACTACGTTCGTTTCGATTTACTCATTAATGATGTTACTGCAAATCTACGCCTGTCCCCTTACAGATAGGCTGGAATCTACTATCTACACACTTGGATCCTGCTGCGTAAGTGTATTTTCGTGTACTTGTTTATTGCTGATTTTTAGCGTATCACAAGTTCGGCGCTGAGACCGTCCGAGGGCATACGGGCTTTTTTGTCGTAAAATATTCAACCCGGGCAAAAATTCCCAAATCTGCATCATATCACTCACAGGTCACAAAACGAGACTTTTTATAAATAAATCATTTCATTTTTTATCATTTCGTTACGCGTGGCAATAAAAACTTGCTAAACATTGGAAGGCTTGATAGATCGTGTGGTCGGTACCCCTCGAAACGTCTCCTGTGTCTGGTGCGATGCAATCAACTTAATACACATATATCATATTTATCTAGAATCAGTAAGACTACTACAATAAAACTCAATCAATCGCTTGTGCCTCCCCCTTGTTGCCCAATCATCTACTGATATCGCATTCCGTATCGTTTGCCCTTTCTCTGGACCCCCAGCTCACCCTATGCATGCATACATACATACATACATACATATATTGAATGTTTCTGTGGAACATTACAATTCGCCGCGGTCACCAGAATGGCAATACGGGAAAAAAGCCTGCCGTGTGCCTGTCATTATTTGGAATGACTATTACATGATATATCGTTGTGGTACGCATCAACTTCTGTGCTCTCGTTGTTCGATTTCGTCTTCGGGGACGAGCGGTGCATTTCCGAAGAACTTGTTTATTACGTGGTAATAATAAATTGCTTTTTATTCGATTGCCAATCCTTATTGCTGCATTAAATTTCTTTACATAGTAAACAATGCAACAATCAGTCGATTGGTTTATTTTCCGTTCCCGTTCTGTGGGGATTCAGTGGTTATCAGCCGATTTTTCCCTGTCTCCCACAACGTTTTCCATCATACTTCTTATCTGTACATGAAGGGCAAATTGTTTGGGTATTAAGATGTAACTACAACATTTGCACGGGCGAGTACCCAAACTTAATAGAACTTGAAACAAGACAGTATTCAAACATTATTTAGAATCGAATACAAACATATTTGGAGTGTACAATTCACGTAAATCGGACAAATGTTTAGTTACACTAATGATATTTGGTAAATTATTTTTCAAAAAAAAAAAAAAAAAAAAGGCGGTGAACTAATGGTACGTACTCGCTCACGTCATAGTCGGTTTCCAGACGGATCTTTCACCGGTGTATAATAGTTCTTATCGCTCTACAAACAACCATTTCTTTCTTCTTGCTTTTTTTGCTCAGCCGGCAACTGCCTATTAATGATCCTTCAACGGATATCTTTCCTCCGACAAGACTTCGTGGTCCTAGCTCAATACTTACAGGTAACACCCATCTATTGTTCACACCGATAACTGTATTGATTCAGCTATTTATTTTTATTCAAATTCAAACTTATTCTGTCAATTTTCTTGATGAAATTAAATTTATTGACCACCCCACGGTTTTTCGCCTGATATTCCATTGACCATTTTCACGATGCTATGGCTCCTCGTCTCGTTCAGTTCGACAATCAGATTGTTATATCTCTATATACAGATGCGATTTACAGTTGTTGACAGTCTCTATCTAAACTTTTGCCACCATCTACTACCTAGATGTGTGAATCTGCTATCGAACTGCCCGCGGCACAAGGTCTGTCATGACGATCGCCGTCACACCCTCGCCGATGTCGACTTCGTATATTTTTAGGCACTACTACTTGTTGATGGAAACACACCTGGGTGTCGAGAAAAGGGTCGAAAACGCCGACCCTGCAGGAGATGCCCAGGCCGACCATGCCTAAACGGGCTAAGTGGCCAAGCACATGTTCATATCAGTGGAACACCTAGTCAATTCCCAATGCTGTTTGTTTAGCTTTAAGCAATGGCACAGTAGAACCTTTGAACAAACGTAAAGGATACTTGGCAATTCTGACGGATCTGGTTCTGGCCAGCCATTCCGCGATGCTTTGGCAAAAACAGCGTCGATACTTCTGTTGTTTTCATCGTCATTGTTGCTGACTTTTCAACAGGGCAAGGCATTTCACTCCCCATTATTATATCATTTGTCTGTCAGCTTTCGGTTATGAGTTTCTCTTTTGCAAGCACTATTTGTGTGCCTTCCTTTCCCTTGCCCAGGTTAATTTGTTTTTATTTTCCATTCATTGCTTTTCGTACAAAACTGTGTACAGTTTACACACTTTAATATATTCACTTGCTCATCGCATTTTTCTCTATAATTCTTCCTCCGTCATTTATAATTGTATTTAATAATAATTAGTAATATTATGCGTCAGTATCTTTTGTTTTTGCTACATGAACATGTACATTGATTGTATTTCAGTGCTTTTGGTTGTGGTATTATTTTTTTTTTTTTCGTTTCTGTTACGTTATAACCAAGTTGGTTAATGTTCGGCTGTTTTTGTCGTCTCTCATACGTGCAAAGTTTTGATGGTCTTTTTTTTTTTTTGTTTATAACTAGACTCACTCTATAGATTAAGGACGACAGAGACGCTGCTCAAAATGTTCTTCATATTAGTCCTTTTCAATTTTGTCGTGCATATATTGTTCTGTCTTGTTGTTGTCATAATTACTTGTGGTGTTGTTGAAAATGTTTTTTTACTTATATTACACTTATGATCTGCGCGGATGAATTGATAATCCGCTGTATCGTCGCCATTCGGTCGCCACGTTCAAACAACACATGGCTGGTTGTCATACTTATACAATAACACACGTCTACATACTGTACTCGAGGTTATTTTCTGTTATTATACCCCCACAATTACATCATTATTGTTATTATTATGATTATTGATACTGTACACGGACATTGCATATCGATTGACTCATTCGTGCCCATACGATGACTGCAATTCGAATGACGACCGGATGCAAGGACTTGCTTCTCAGCTACTACACCGTACTACTACTACTACCAGATGGTACAACAAAGACAAGCAATACCTCCTGCAGCCTCATAATGCCTCCTCCGCTTTTCATTCCATCGCAATCTCGTTGGCTTTTCTGTTTTATCGCAAGCCCTCACTGTTTTATAGTGATCTACTCTACCGTAGAGCTGACAGCGGCCAAAATCTTGAGGCAAGCGAAAACAGCAATAAAAAAGCCCTCGTCGCGTACCAAACGGCAGGTTGTAGCCGGCCGGCACTTGAAGCCATAGCAGCTCTTGAGGCGTTGTCCAACGTGTTATCGCATTCCGATTGGCCCTGCAGAACCTGCAGTCGCATCTCGACCTCGTGGCCGATATGTTCCCCCCTTCCCAATGAAGACATGTCAATGCCGTGGTCCAGATGACCCGGACGCAAGTGGCTCTGCGAAATGTGGGGGCATTGATGAGGGTAAATGGACAGCGTGTAGAATTTCTCCTGCAGCTGGTAGACGAAACATTGCGTGCCTTTGCCTTCTTCCTCAACAATCATATAGGTCGTGTTCCCTCGACGATAATGGCCGTAGCAGGAAAAGTCTGAAATAACGAAATGGAAGTTCCGTTAAGTTGGAGCTAACTGCCTTACCCCCCAACACGCACACCTGTCAATCACTTTAAATGTTTATGCGTAAAACCAATGACAATCTACATCGAAGTGCATTCGTGAACATTGGTCCCGCAGTATATTTCGGTTTATTATGCTTACGTTTGGCAGATTTGTAGGGTCCGCATGTGGAGTAGAAAGCCATTGAGGTCTTGTGAACACAACCCAGGGTTGTGGCTGGTCCTACCATCTTGCACTCCTCTAGCGGGAAAACGGTCCGACCAATAACTTTGAGTGAGGTGCCGTGCAAAATGCACCTCTTTGGCGTGGCTCCTGAATGTGTCCATATAATATAAAATTTATCTAAATGTATCTAAATATTACGAACGAGCGAGCGTGTATAAAAATGAAAATATATAAATTTCAATAAATCATAAAAAAGAAAACGAAGTAACCATGCAGATGATGTAATATTTGAACGATAAAACAGCTCCGTGCCAGTTTATATAGCAGACCCGACCATCAAAACAGACGGCTCTAATATATGAAGACGCGTTTTATGAACAAAAAACGCTAGTTTCTGCATGCTGATGTGTCGAACACACAGCTGAATATATATATGGGTTACGTTAATAAAGTGAACATAGCACCGGCATCGAGTCATCGCAATCCTGTATTCGTTGTTGTTGCTGTTTTTTTGTTTCCGCTCGTTTTCACTAATCGCGTCATTCTTTCGTATTTTTTTTTTATTGCATTATTTGTTTGTTGTCTACTTACGGTACAGAGTATCAAAATGGCGGCTTTCCTTATCGTAATACGGTTGCTGGCAGGCAAATTTGACGGTCGGCGCTGGCGAACCAATCTGCATCTCGACCACGTGCTCCGAACGGCGTGACAACGTTAAACAACGATAGCTCATCTCACTGTAAATTTATTGCAAACAAGTATACAGGTGAGCACACGATACATCAATGAAGAAGTCATAAAGCACGAAAGATGGAAAAAGAACAAATGAAAAGAGCATATTTGAAGCTAGTAGCAATACCGGCTTCGCATACGAGCATGAACGGAGCGACCTCCCTACTACCGTTTAACTATGCACGCAGCAGAAGCTCTACGAATATCTATTTAGCTTCCGCTTTTTCTGCTCGTGCCACCTTCGCCAGTGCTAGTAGTACTAAGCAGTAACGCTAGCCTCTGCCTGGTCCTATATTAATATATCTTGTCGTATATGAACAGGTTACGGGCTGGCAGTGACCTAAGAGTCAACTAGAGTTGCTTCTAGTGGGTCTGCTAAGTCGACTACGCAGTGAATAAAGTGAATTTAGTTATGATATGATAAAAGAGAGAGAAAAAACCACTCAATGTAGAAGACTACCATAATGGTGTGGATTGCAGTCTTGTCTAGGTCTCGGCGCGCCAGCCTCTCGTAAACAAGCTATGCCGCCATCGTTCTACGTTTTTACATAGTACATTATACCCTATTATCACATCGGCAAAGCCGAAAAAGAAGAACAGCGTCCGTTGTGGGCAACAGCCCCATAGACGCCGGCTGACGATTTCCTATAAGCTTGTTTTATACTTTGCGCAGCAACGATAGATGATCTTTCTGTAGCTAGCAGCATTAACATCAACAGCGCTACTACGAGGGGCAATAGCAACCGCGAGCGACGATACGATTACGTAGTACATCCTGTACGAATATGGCTGTGTACACTGTATACCAACGCACTCACACTCATTAGCCCAACCAGCACGACACGGCATTCAGGAAAGCAATCATGAGTAGTAAATGTTGTGGAAGCACACCCACATCTCGTGTACTGTACAACGTTCTCGGTAAAGGCAGCAGCAGCAGCTGCAGCAGCAAAGGGAGCTGCGAATGAAACTATGAGAGAAAGTGGAAAGGGGGTGGTCGCAAAAGAGGAAAAGGAAAAGGAGGAGGAGATGATTGGACGTGCGTATCACGAGCAAGCTAGGTAAGACCCAGCTTCGTTCGTTTGTGGGTACCAACCACACGTACACATAAAGACATAACATCTATGCTAACAAACACGCTCGCGCAGACTTATACGCTCGTATAGACATTCAAGCCCCTGCTGCACACGGGCAAACATATAAGTACAATACAGTCGGGTATGGTTGGGACACGGTAGCACATCTCTCTCACACACACACATTTTCACACACGCACACACACAGAAGCTATAGTTGCACGGTGGTTTCGTAGAAGCATCTACTTTGTGTTGTGTCATTAGTACCACAAGCCCATAGAGAAACTGAATGACTTGGCAGAGGTGGTGTTATACCAGCCATGCTGAGACTACTGCCGTTGCCGTGACTGCATCTGCCACTGCCAGCCTCTTCCATCGGATCCGGAGTGGCTCCGGCATTGGCAATTTGGTCTGCAGCGGCAAGAGGCAACATTTCAATGAGTAGTAGTGAATACGGTACTAACATAGAAACCCCGCCGTCGTCTGCATCCGAGATCCTATCTTCATGTACGGTTAAATATCCTCAGACATTCAAACGAAGAAGGATCTAAAGCAACGAGGAAAAAAGGGGAATATGAAAGAAGTGTTGGCAGCGAAGAAGTGTGAGCGAACCGAAAAGGCGATCCGACCAGCTATAGCTGAACACTTATTGTGCATAGTGCCATTCAGAAACCTACATAGGGTACAGAGAGCAACATTTAAAGAAGAAAACAACCCACTTCAACCCTTTTTCCCTTTCAGCTTATAGCGTACAGAAACCCAAACCCAAAAGCCCTCAAACACTGGTAAGCATCAACAAATGAATGCGCAAGCGTCAAGTCACGTTCGGCCAATCCTCCAATCTCTTCACTTAAACCTGCGTGGGGCTCTTTTTTACGGCTTTTTCCCTGTTCTTTCACGCGGTGTCAGTGTCCTTCGCGTGCTTCTACTGGCTTTTTGGCGAAACCGGCTCGCCCGCCCGATTGCATGATTGCAGCTAGCCTCGGCATATCCAGCCAACACTATCGGCTTTTCAAGGCCCTCACGTACTAGGCGCTCTTGGCGAAACGATGCGCGTGTATGTAGCTATTACGGGCTGTTCTTTCATGCAACAAGGCTGTGTCATGTGTTACCCTTCCATTCCGTCTATATGTCGAATCATTACTGGAGGCTTTATACAGCAGCAGCAGCAGCAGCAGCAGTAGTAGTGTACAATAAAAGTCATTTGTCGCATGGACTCGAAAGGGTAGCAGCAGCGTCAAGTGACGGATCCTCACTTACACCTTTCAGTTATATGGTGATTCGCGTTCTTTTTCTTCCTCTATCTCTGCTCTATTCAGCGTACTTTATTCTCAACGCGAATCACGGACTAGTTAACTACGGTCACCTTGCTTTACTAACGCTAGGCTTGCGTTGGGTCTCAGACTTACCATTGTTACGCGAGCCCATGGGTATGATAGCTAAATCTTGCAGCGACAAGCAACTTTCAGCCAACCTACACGGTACACATGTTCAGCCCAAGTTCCTTTAGCTTGTCACTGGTCTATTCAGTTCAATGTTGATGCTCCGGCTTGTGAGCAAGGATCACTGTGACCATCAGTTTATTTGCTCGGCTTGGCCATTTCTGCGCAGAATGGCTCCGCCACAGGATTATGCGATGCATGCATGTATAGCCTTGCTGAGGTTATATGGGCTTGCCTGTCTTCACAGGAGCCATTTTGCCCTTCTCCGCTTCTTCAGAGTTCCCTTCAGGCAGTACCCACGTGAGTGTTTGTCAATCCTAGGAAAAACATCGCGTCGCCGAGCTTGTTTTCATTGCCACTGATAACTCGGTATCCTCCTGTAGTCTATCTGCTACGCCGATTTAAACCGCTGGTACCGCCTCTGCGGCTGATGCTACTGTTATTGACAAACCTACCACTGGCAGACTCAGTCACCATGTTTTTGCTGCCTTTTCCAGTTCTGCTGATGGCTCCCAGGTAATCACATGAGACTCACGTGCATCGACCTACTGAGAAAGCAGGACACAACGCAAACGAATGGAAGATCTCTATTGGGATATAATATAGAAGGTCGACAACAAATGCACCCTGTCAGTGCCCAGTCAGTAATGCTGCTGCCGCGCTTGGATCAGTGCATACATTACTCATTCGTTATAATATGATAAATCATCTTTGTGGGCAACTTCCAATGAAACGAGTTACCCTCAGCTTGCATGGACGTAAGGATAAGTATAGAACATGTGCGTAAGTGTGTCTGTCCACAGCGCAGGGGAATTGTACCAGTAGCGGAAACTGCGCAGCAGCCATCGGAGGCTTTGTGTTTGCGAAATCGGTAGCCGGCGGCCAGCATTCAGTAACTAGACGCAACGAAAGACCTTGCTTTATTACTACACGCACGACAGGCGGCAACTGGGCAGCATACGACCAGTCGTTCGTCAGAGCAAGGACTTTTGGGATGACGCTGAGGAGTTGTAGTTGCATTTTCGGCCTGCTTGCGAGGTTTCGTCTTGGTTGTGGGGGTGAGTCAGTCAAGGGTTTTCACTCTCAGGGGGATTGACCACCCACTGTGGCCATTGCCGGTCATACCATCGAAAGCGAGACCACCGCTGCAGGGTGCTGATCAACGGCGCATTTATTTTCAACAACAGCAGCGAGCTTACTCTTTTCTGCTATCTCCTTCTATTTATTTGTGGTTGTCCGCTAACATGGCAGAAAGATCAAGGAAAATCTTCAATACCGATTGAAGCATCCAATACTAACATGGAAAATAAATTGGTATGAGGGGCCGCACCTTGATCAAATGCAACGATCATATTATAGATGTTCGTTAAGAGGATTCCCAAAATATTTTCACCTATTTCATCTGTTTTTCCATATCTCCGGAAAATTTGTTGTTAGGTCCTGTTAAAAATATAGTGAATTTCCTACATGCTAACTAGCATTAAATACTTGATAACAATAATGTTAAAAAAAAAGCTGACTCGTGGAATGGATTCGTATCGTCTCGCGTAATCGGACCGATCTAACTTGCAGTCCGATCTCGTTCGTCCCATAAAAACCGCTTTGTTTCTCCTACTCCGACAAATAAGAATAAACTAAACTTGGTGAAACTTAAGCAATAAGTCCGAATTTTGAGCTAGCATCGACCGACTAGCCGCTGGGTCGAGCGGGTCGGCTGAACATTCATAGTACAGCTAGAACCCTGTTGGTGAAATAGCGAACTAACTCACCATTTCTGCTGGTACTCGACGACATAGCTGAACGTTCCATTGCTCTCATCCGGATTGTAATCTTTCATTTGAAAGATGCATACGGCACGGGCATCCTCTTCACCGTCCTCGGATATTGTAAGCTCGCGACTCGTGGTTGAAAAGATGACTCGCGCACGCGGGTCGCCGGCACCTGCATTACGGCGAATTTTCCTCCACACTGGCCTCTTCTGGTCGTTTTCTCCCATATAGAACGGAAAGAAACATTGCGGCTGAGGACTTTCTACTGCAATTCAATCAGGTCGACAAATACAGATATATTTAAATACGTTTAAAAAAATCTTTAAAAAGTGAAAACCGTAGATAAGTGTCAGCTACTTGTCTCCTGTTAACGATAAACTACTGGCGAATGGCTGGAGCCGGGCTCCTTGGGCCTCTTCGAGAGAAGACAAAAGCAAAGCTCCTTTTCTCTAATATACTAACTGTTAGCCATTCTAATGAAGCCCACATAAGGCCACTCAACAATGGTCACGTGAATACAGCCGCTCCCCTTAGCTGCTGCCCATCTGTTGTCCATCGTAGGCCACAATTAATAAGTATGTCTTACTGTTGAATTGAAACTTTCCAGTAGGCTCTATGATTTAATCTGCTAACAGCCTCAAGCTGAGGTATATTAGATTCTCGGAAAACCCAATGCATTTACTCACTACTCGTGAATAAAAGCCAAGTTACCCTATCAGTGCGTTATAAAAATATCCGCATCAGGTCTCCACGCGACTACGACGCACCGATATTATTCTGTGTATATGTATATATAGGTCGCTGTACTAACGGTCGTAAATTTGCAGTGCATAGCGTGCACATATGGTGTAGTATTATGTATAGTTGTTAGCATGATGGCAACGTACTACAGGAACCTTGAGAAATAACGGCACACATCAAAAGTTGTTTTCGCTTCTACCGGTACTTAACCCGAATTGCCACAACATTGTATGGGTTGGGGGAATGACACGTAGTAGAATCATATAGAAACTGCTCGCTGCTATGTTCTGTAAGGGACAACGTCGAAGTCGCGGTAAGCGACTTCCCCGCTGCTTACGCTCGTTTGACCCATCCACTCACCCACGCAGTTCCCTTGAAACCTCTAACAGACTCAATGATTAGGAACTACCGGACTGAACGGGACTTCATGACGACGTAATTCCGCCGGTAAAAGGACTCTGTATACCGCGACGCCACAGCTTTCGATGGTACTCAAACGGGCTTGTGAACTGGTCGAAAGTTGATGGTGTAGATAAAATATAATCTGGTTCGGCGAATTCTAATTAAGCTACAATATCCTTTCTATCCGTCGTAATTGGATTATGCGGATCTCGGAACAAACGTATTACCACTACGATGCATACCAATGTGAAGTTTCATGACGCGCGAGCCCTCATAAGCAGAGTACACTCCATAACAGGTGGCGTCCGCACTTTCTGATAGATAAATTGTTTTGCCGTGGCCGTCGTGTTGGTACATCTGTAACAAAAAAAAAATAGAAACAAACCAGGAATAAATGGTGCCATTTTAACATTAAATTAACAGAACGTTTCGTTACATAGTAAGAAAATAGGTATCTAAGTGCACATATAACATACCATAGCAATTAGAGGCTCAATATAAAATCATTGATCAATTGTATGGAACGCCGAAAATAGCCCATGAGCTACGATGAGCGCTTTCAGTGTGGAGGCCCGTATCCAAAGTAACGACTAAATGACCAGTGACAAATACCGCTTTACCAATGTCGATTATTCTACCATGTTGAAGCCAAGTCTAGACTGTGTCTTAGTGCGACCTCGAAGTTCGATAAGAGGAGCAAAGGGATACATTTTGTTTCAGCATTTCTCTTCCATTCAACATTAATTGCCATTGTCTTTATCGTATCAGCATCGGTTGATCGAGCCCAATCAACATATTTCTATGAAAAGCTAGCACTCACGTAGCATCTGTAATGCGCGGGATCGTTAGGATCTCGTATCAACTCCTTTGTGGACACCATTTTTCCGATGAAATATAGTTGATTTCCCTCCTTCCATCGTGCGATACATGTCAGCTCCTCAGCTGTCGACATAGATAATACTTACGCTGTCGTTAAAAGAACTTATCCTAGTCGTTGGGAATTATTTATCATTGTGAAAATTGATGGTTTACTATCGCCTCATCTGGGAAGAGACTTTGCAACTTTAAATTCTATGGTGAGTCTATTCATATTGAGTAATATTCACGTCTATAATATACTTCATATATATATAGATTGACAGTCACGACTTTTTAGGAACACCGGAACACGTCATTGTTTTATAACACGTTATTTTAAGCACTTGGCCATGTAGTCTCATATCCTTATTTACATTGATGCGCAAAATTTTACTCATTGTGACTAGTGTGAATCGATAAATACAGCTTCCAGTAAATATCGCAGATTTATCATACACTGAAAAAAAAAAGCAGGACGTAGATGTACTTACTGGAAGACTCGGTTCCCATGACTTCGGCACATGCTTGAAATCTGAACATGAGGCGGGTGTTGTTTTGGTTGCACTGATCAACCGATGATGGCGGCGTGCGACACTCGCCATGATTGCGGTTGTATGAGAAACGATACCGTTGATCGACCAGAGGACAGCGCTCGGGGGTCGCGTTCACTAGGTAGCATAATAGGAAATATTTAGTGTCAGCAACAAACAACTCCCAATCGGATACGAGGTCTACACAGTTAATATAAAAAATCTTCTATTGTTTGTAACGATCTAACTTCATCTTCTATACAGATTGCAGCGCTCTCTGCGACGATAATGCGCTGCGTGTGCTCTAAATTCTGCCAAAGCAGATCGAGATTTGTCCACGCTAGCGGTGCGATCAAACTAACGATTGTCGTTCACGTAAGCAAACTCCGTGTCAAAATCCCTGGGCCTGCGTTGCAATCAAACGCATTATTGGAACTTACACCAGAAATTCAATTTGTCGCTGTGTTGTGTAAGAGAGCTACCAAAAGTCTAGGAATGAACGTCGTCATGACACACGTACATCATCACTTACATTAAAACCAAGCTCCAGCTGCGTGCGGTGCTTCTATTAATTTGTAAACCGTAGAATGTGCACACACGAGTTCATAACGTGCACAGGTCTCAGCACATAACCACTAAAACGAGGTTGTTAGAGGATCATATTCACATATCAATGATCCAACAAGGATCTTCTTTCTTGAAGAACGTATGTCTGTACCTCATCGTTTGAAACTGGAAGTCACTCCCAAAAACCGAAGCTGCAACCCGGGATTCATTATTGTGCAGTTGGCAAATACCATATATGTAAGTGCCACAATAACGTTATTACATTAAATGCAATTAAACATATCGAGCTCTATATAGCTTAAGGAAAGTTACTTCTTCCCCCGGGGTACGCCCTTCGGGATTATTTTCGTAATACTAATAGACGTTAAGCCCGATGGAGGCGATCCATCGCAAAAAGTGCACCCAACAATTTCTACCATCCAATCGTTTTTCCAGTTTTTTTTTTTGAGAATTCCATAATATACGGGCTTCAGCTTCTTATGTAGATAACGCCACAGGTCTAGAACGCTATTTTGTATGCCTCTTCAGTGGTTTCGTAAAGGGGTTGAGATATCCTTATCTGGTTGGTGAATGAGTTTTTCGCTGGTTCATCTTTCTCGTAAGGCGTTTGATTCTGTGCCTCAGATATGTAAGCGTGTGTCTGTGTGTTCATATTAAAAGGCAAGTCTTCCTTGTTCTCCCGACACGATGGCCGTAAGTATGTGCATTAGTTCCTCTGTTAGCCCGAAGGCATTTTGTCTGAGTCAGCCTTAAATTTAGCTAGTTCCTCAAAGGCTCGTCTGTCAAATGTTTCCCAATCGATCAGTTTTTCGATTTTCGTTCTTTCTTAGCTTCATCATTTTTTTTTATTTCGGGTTTTCCTGGTATTCGTAGAAATTCTAATTTCAGTCAAGCAATAAAATGGACGATTAACCTCCTTGATGTTGGATACCACACGAGCTGTTTGAAGTCAATATATTTTATAGAAGAGCAAATAGACCACGCTTCATGTTCTGGCCATGTTGGTCCACTTCACATCAGAAGGCTCCACTCTGCCTTTTTGCCCGACCTGCTGCTACATTTTGCTGTGGTCAAACGGAACCGCATATAGATTCTGCTGCTTCCACCTGTAAGAATCCTAGCAACGCGCCCAACAGCCGAGGAACGTAGAAGCCGCAGATGAAGAATTAAAATGGAGGAAGAATTCTTCATTGTATTTCCACTGCTCACTGTTTATTCTGTGTGAGGTCGTTGGCTGCTCCTCCATAGATCATAATGCATCTGTCAGTTTCCGTGACGTCTATGTCCATCTTCGACCTTGCAGGTGTTTAATACCGCTTCAAACGTATAGTCGGATCTTTGTCACCTAATGTTTGTTGAGGACTTAAAATTCAATCCTGTGAAGGGGCATCTGAGTAACGACAGCGCTCACTGTCTAACCCCTGGGTTGCGTGCCGAAATGATCGTCGAGCTGTGCGTGGCATCTTGCGTCATCTTGTTTGATCGTCCTATCTCGTTTTTAGGCAGGCAGTGTTTGCCTTAAGCCGGAACCAAGGAGGTAGGCTTAGACAGCGGTGTTCTCCCGCCCATACAAATGTAACCATACGGTCTTACCCACACAGTCGTATGTCCTGACAAATCAGCCTCGTGAAACCGTCTTACTCGTTCGCACGAGCAGATGAGCCAAATACGACAGCACTGAAAATAGTATCAATACTGCAGTTGGATATGGAAATGGACCCGTTATCGCCCCGAGACGCAACAGATAATGTGGATAGCATCAAGCAAAGTCGTCTCAATGGCTTCATGTTTACAATATGGTGTACAAGTAAAAATTGCCACTATTGAACGTAACACTATTCACGAGTTCGCTCATCGAGAAAGCGATCGCACCATAGGATTATGCTAAGTAAGCGTTTAGGTTTCGCAGTCAGAAACAATCAAATTATGTTGTTCTGTCCGGTCACGACTTTTTGCGAAGTAGGCAAACGGCATCGAAGCCCTCATACGTGCAGATGAATGGCATTATTATGCACGGAACCATAAGGATTTTAAGCATGCTCCGTTGTTTATATTCTAGAAGTAGAAGACCTTTATATGATGGACTCTCGTAACTACACGCTGGCTGTTTTTATGTCATTCATAAACATTTGTGTATTTGAATGCTACAAATTTATAGTAAAAAATAAGTGTTTGTACACACTCTGTTGTTGCAGTAATCGATCAATGCAGCGCGTTGGCAATTAACGATATGATGGTGCTCTCCATATGCATCCCTATATCGCGAGGGCTTTCATTTTTTTAACTGCAATTCTTCACTATATAATTAGATCGAAGATCTCGCTTTTGGCATCTAACGTCATAATTCGATAAGTCAATTATCTGGGTTATGAGCGATCCAATTTTGAAGGTTATTAGCCGCTAGCTATGTTTCGCCTGAGCTGTGAACTCCTCAAACGGTATTTCCCTTTCAAGCACGGGTAGATAATTGAGCAGTATTTTAATGTAGCTCGAATCTATAGTATATAATTCGTCCGTTAAAGTTACTTACCTCGGATTAGGAGGACAGTGGGCAAATCGGATTCAATCTGATAACGGACCGAGCTGGCGTCGGGCCTTGCTTCCGATGCATCAAAACATGGCGCTAAAAATAGCAATAAACAAAGACATATTAAAAAAATACAGCAACACACTCCTAGCTAACACTTCAAATTGTAAATTCAACTCGGGGAAACGTTTGAATTCTCGTTAAGGTCAAATTAAGTTTCAAAAGAGCATTATGCCCAACAAATATCTCCGGTATCCCTCGCAGTAAATATAAATAAAGGGTTCAGTGGATTTTTTTTTATCATAACATGAAAAATGTATGGATCATGTTGAGGCGGAGTCTCCCTTTTACTTCTATTCAATGTTGTCGGCATTTTATAGCTATTGTCCTGAAAGTTAGAGACCCTTTTAGGTTTGATAACATACTACCGTTGGTTTGTTCCATTTCATGTTAGATTACTTTGGTGTTATCTCCACAGGAGAGGAGTTCCCTTGAAAAATAAGCCGACATAAACTGCCTTGTTAAACGTCCGTACGGGTTTCCAACCTTCATTTGTGCGGTGAGGCTATTTACGTTGTAAATGGTAGACAAAAGGTAGCTGGGATATTGTTGGGAAATGCCCTTTAAATTCCCAACAGATATATTTTATCACAAGGACAACACTACAATTGCGAATTCTATCACGAACGATTTGTCACCCGACAACGATAGCACATCAGTCAGTTACTTGAAATTATAACATTGTCATATATTTTAATTCATACCAATCTCAACCCTTCATACTTACACACTCGATATTGCAGAACATTTGGATGTTTCTCGTGTATAATAAATCCACGATAACACCGGTCTCTCCTGTTAACAATAAATACAAATAAGTTAGTAGTAGAACAGGTAGTTCCAAACTTATCAGGACCGATTCAGTCAGCGACTTCAAACTATGTTAGCAGCATAAACAAATACTATACAACCATTGGAAAAACCGATTAACGCCACTTTATCGTCAATTTCCAGTCGCGTCGGACGTAAGAAGAGAAACGCAGAGAAAACCTGCCTACTCTCCTTGCCGTGACCTGAAAACGTACTGGCAGCCGTCTCTCGTCGCATATACACATAGATAGCATCGCTTCTGTTGCTAGCTACAGTTCTGAACGCAAGGTCCCTCTCTCTCGCCGCAGGTATCTCCTCTAGTAACTGCTTCCTATTGCTTCTGGCCGTAGGATCATCTCAGGCCATCGCAATTGTCAACGAGGTGAACTAGCAATGTAAGACGGTGGCCTTATCGGGTTCGTATTTTGACTTCTCTCTCTGTCAATCGCTCCGTTTCTAACTTTATCACTAGGCTGTATTCCTTCCCCCTCACGGCCAACTTCATCGGCTCCTCTTTTTGCACGCACAATTCGGCATAGTTGCAGTTGCAATCTCCGAGGGTATGGAATGGATGCGCCGGGATGCAGCAAATGTTAAATCTTCTGCAAGACAAGCTACCTTTTCCTCCTAGCTTTAGCTAGCTCCCTCTAGCACGAAGTCAGCTTCGGCAGCTTTCCTTTGCAAAGGAAGCGAAGACTTCCGCCGCGATCCGTACGTGACAAGCATTGACGCCTGCTCAACACAAGATACTGCGATAACGGCGGAGAGCGTCCTGCCGCGGAAAGCGTGGCATACCATGTGCATTTTGTTGGTTCGACATAGGTGGGTAAATCGGTTGGCGATACTCGTGGAGTAAACATTGCCCTGTTCGGTGTTGGCACCGATCAGGGCCTGCGCGCACCCATAGACCCCGCCGCATTGTTAAAGATTAGTTAGCCCTCCGGTCGGATACACACAACCTGGCTAGAGTGCTCGCACAGGTCGGACAAATGTCATTCTGACAAAATGCATTACTTCTTGGCGCGGGCTAGATTTCTCTTGTTCGACGGGCGAGCGCTCAGAATCTATGTTATTGTTGGCATTGGAGACTTCATCCCTACAGTCGAAACAGGCACCATGGAGAGGGTTTGATGACAGTTGAATCAAATAAATATTGTATATATAACTATGCAAAATACTAACTTGCCATATATATGGCGATATATATATACACGATTGCTAAACTATATATATATATATATATATATATAGCTTAGCAATCGTGTAAATAATCGCTATACGACAAAGCAATATCCCGCCACTGTTCATATTTTTCAAGTATTAACATGGTCCAAATAGTGCGCTCTAATATAAGCTAATAAAGTAAAAGGCTGAAATGTATCTAATGTATAAGACAATTATAATAAAGGCATCTATAATAAGACAAACGAAGCGGTCATTGAAGCACGTGGTCTTGTTTCAAATTTTTACCAGCTCCGAAAGGTTGAGCCTTCTTATTTGCGACACGTCGGCTGTGATTGGGGAATTAGACAGACGGAAAGCAGAGATTCCTGAATCCTCGAACATTGGCCACTTTGGCGCTAAGCACAGCCAACGTCACGGGACAAAGCAGAAAGGTAATACAAGCTTGCCATTCAATTGAGTTCACTGCATGAAGTTCCATACGGTTACGAAAATGGTACGGAGACGATGGCAGGTTTGCAACAGAGACAATTTCAGGTGAGATCAATTTTACTTGGTGAACTCTTGATGAAAATGAATGAAGCAGACTATCGACTTTTACCGCTAATGTAGCAAAAAGGACGTCATAGGTAAAGCGTAGGTTACCGCACTGATTCTCAGATTAGGATTTATTTGGGTCATCGAAAAGATTTGAAGACATTACAAAAAAAACCCGAGAGAGACGTATCCAAACTAAACGGGGCGGAATAGGATAAGATGCTTGATACTGCATATCGCTGCACGAAAGAAATTGCACTTACTAGCCTGACATGCTGAACGTCTGATGAAAAGTTCTCTGTAGATTACAACGAGACTAGTTGCTTCAATTTCGATTGAACGTTTTTATCGTCGGAGACGGTACAAGGTGAACAAGAAAAAGGGCAACAAAGTTACACAATATATAGGCACCACTGTTGCGTTTAATAGCTTAGTTTAATGGGAAACAAGTTGATTTACAATTACCTCCTGTGTAAATAGATTAGGATAGAGTCGACTAAAATGAGGAGTGTGCCTGTTATACTCTTTTGAGGCGTGCATCAAGCATGTCTGTTGTATATACATATATATATACATGGTGCGAAATGGACATTTAAGAAAATGCTTCCAGTCCATTTGAGTATTTCTAGTATCACATATGTAATGGATAAGATATTCTCACAGGGTGTATACGGTGACGAAAAGATAGCCGATTACTTACGTGTCATCAATGACGAACGAGTGCTCTTTGTCGTTGGATCCACCTAAAGAGTCTAGACATTTGCCACGTGCTAGAAAGTTGTTTCGATCAAGCCGAAGCGGGTACCGTAAGCCCTGTTGAACCCAATCATCTATCCACTGCGATGGAACCACGCATGCTGCCTGGCGAGCTTCTGCAAACATTGCAAGCAGAAAAACAATGTCAGGAATAAGGAGCTGTTGGCAACAGTATACTTCAGAAATAAGTTTGCGTCAAATAGTACTTGCAAAAATGCGATCTCGACTAACTATTTATTACGCTAGCCTACATTTGTACATATAATGATTACAACTGAGATAGCACCACATCCGACTGGAGTATTATTTGAAACAAATATACTATATGTGTGCCTCAACCAAACGCTCGAAAATGCTATAGATTCTTATTATAGGGTTTCCTATATACTTCTGGGGATTTAGATAGAATTTCACAGCCTGTAGTACACCAGTTTTCTCCTGTATTTAAGGGTCACATTTGGCGAAATTGGCAAGTTGGCTCCTCAGGATAGGGAAGGTTCCCGCAAGGCTCGGCTAAGCGGTCCCTATTATCGTCTGTTTCGGTACTCAGGATGCTAACCCACTTCCTACATGCTTGCCGCAGGTTAGAATATGGCTTTGCATTTGTTGGATTTGATGCAGCTGGTGCAGGCAGAACGGCATCTTATCTAGATTTGCTGCTAATCACCGCGCTCTGGTAATACGCGAGTCTTATGTAGACCTGCTGGAACGACATCCTTAAGGTAGCATAAACAGATTGTCGAGTTTTTACATTGTACTGTTTCCCCACGTTTACAGAGAAAGTCAGGCTGTTGACTTATGGGTCTGTATAGAGGGAAGAAGTGAGGGCGGAAGCACGAGCGACGACAAACCGATGTAACGTCGTCGTGGACTCTTTCTGAAGCTGAGCTGTTACAGAAGACGAACACAGAAAACACGCTAGCTGCAATGAATGGCGTGTGTTCGAAAAGCCCAGTTGCCTCTGCAGCAATATAATACAGAACTAATCGCCTTGGGCACGTCTTGCAAATAAGTCGATGCAAGGATTAAGAATCTGCTGAAATCCTACTTTGTTTGTTACTGTATTGAACAACATATCTATATTTCTTTTAATTTCTTAGAACAAGTACAAATACATGTTTATGTTGTTTCGGCTGCAGTTAAACAAGACCTCTTAAGGTTTTCCACGGTCTGTGCTTTCTTCGACCTTGGTGCTCGTCGTTCAGATGCAAAAGTTGGACTTTCGTCTGGTCACGCACGAAACAAGCTGAGTAAATTTTAGTGCTCTCTTTATGATGTCTCCCCTTTCTTTGCACAAGGTTCAACTCTAATTCGTGCGGCTATCTCAGCCTGTGATGAGGTTAGTTAGTCCAATTTACTGAGATGACGAACTGTAAAGTATCCACTTATATTGAAATCCAATGTATTATTGCATATCGACATAACCATCTGGTGGTATAACCAAGACGGTTCTGTCACACGTCCCCGTTCAGTGTACGCACACACAATATCTGAAACACCTGCGCCCCACCCACGTCCTACTGCGCCAAGCTACGTATGCGTACTACATTTGTATATATGTATAAATATATTTTAGCTTGTCGAACAGTTAGTGACCGTTTTAAAAAACAAAAACAAATATGATCAAGACATCCGAATGAGACTGTTAGTTGAATTATGCGCCGTTTCTATTGGTAACATTCTGCTATTTTTTTTTCCGAAGAACAATGATCTCATTATTCTAGAACCTCTGGGGCGTCTGCACAAAAGTTATGACAGGTGATTTTTAAATTTCTCTTTTGAAACTAAGTGAACGCTATTAAGAGAGTTCTGCAGCGACGGACACAGATAGTAGTCTAAAGGCATAATTTGGCAGATGCATTAAAATTTTCTAATTAAGTTCATTCAATTTCAGCCAGGTGGCTAAATGTATATGTGGTCTGGCAATGTCATAACGGAAAACAACGCTTTTTCTGTTTCGGTTGATTCTTTCAATGGCTTATTGTATTCTCTCCAGTTATTGATAGTAGAGATCCAAATGAATCGTTTTGTTAGGTGGGACCGATTCATTTTCAATTTCAGCACGCGCATAGCGTTACCTTTTTTGGCACTTCCCTAAGCTTTGGCACTGATTGTGGTGCACATTCTTTATCTGCCTATTATTTTTGTATGTAATCTATTTTTTCAGAATTTTTTTTATTTAGAAAGAGTTTAGCAGATAAAATTAAGGCGGAAATTCTTCTACGTCACTACAATAAAAGTGACAAGGATACCGTTACTCTCGATAACGCACCTTAACAATAAATAGTACAGTTGTTTTAGACGTTTCGACGCCGTTTGAGCCTTTATTATAATGAAACTTTACTTAATCTAAATAAAGACCTATCAACAATGTTGACACATCTATCTACCGTCCAATCTCAACTTTCAAACGCCAGCCTAATGCGACTCATATTACCTGCGATATAACTTTCATTCGATAAACGTTTAATACTTTTTCAATAATTCAACGTATAATTTTTTTACATTATTATAATAGATATGCCTATTTACATGAAGTTACAGTATCTTATAATGCTACATTATTTTATGTATTCTATGAACCATTGCTACTGCCGTGTTCACAATCGAATATCCGCCTCCTAGGGGTCTTTCTGAGTTAAACGCGACTTGAGTGACTGGTTTGGAGCGAAGCTTCCTTTGTTACGGCAATGGGTATCGTGTAGGAGCAAAGTAGCCAATCCTATTGTAGTAAAGGAACGATGAGAAGACAGGAGCCTGAGTGGCAACATCTGTTGGATTTCTCCGCTGGTTGGCGAACCGGCCCCAAATGTGCTAGGACCCCATTCCAGGACAGATTACCGGCCACTGTAAGCGTTCAGGTCAATCCTGTGCCCAGTATATTGTTGTTGTCTTGACTGCTGTGACGTTATTGTCATAACCCTCTACCGCCTGTTGTTTTTCCCTTGGAAAAAAGGCACTCCAAATTTTGTTTCTTTCTCCCCTAGTGTCCCTATCCTTAGGCCTCTACCGGCGCCCATCGACTGAACTATACCAAAGTGCATTAGTCAGTATTGAAGATGACAGAAAGGCCAGTGATAGCAGCTATCGTTGACGGACCACACAAACCACTGGGTTTGAACCCGCAGAACTGAAGACAACGGTGATAGCATGTTATATATCAACTAATGTATATATGTATCTATGCGAGTTCACATGAGCCGTATGGGAGCCGCTCGCTACCTTAAATACGGTGTCGCGAAGACAAGGAGGCGACATCGGTTCTTAGCTCAACTTGGCCGACCGCAGTTTGGCTCAGCAAAAGGGAAATCGAATGTGCAAAGTGTAGCAGCCGGACCGCACGAAATCGCTTGTTGTCTTCGCTTACCTGATGCGCTTCTCTGGGAACAGAGAAAGGAAGCTAGTGAATGATAGTATTATATATGCAATCTTCGCTTAGATAAAGTAGTTGTGTAAGAAGAAGCTTTCTGAGGGACAACAGCTGCACTATGTTCCATTCACCCATCTAGCGATCCTGCAGAGCACATTCGATGGCATCATCTGGGATGTGGGGTAACCATTCGAAAGGGGGTCTGTCTTTGCTGCAAGATCTATATGATTATACCGTGCTATTCAAGAAGATACGCCGACAATAGGACTCTCATCGATCAGAGAAGGAAAGGGGATTATCTGTTTATTCCTTCAGACCGGAAAACAGCCAAGATCTCCTACTGCCTGTATTACTGAACAGTTGGGGATTAATTATGTGGATTAGTAAGGTCGTAGGTCCCAAGCAGAAAAAAGATGTGTAATGCATTCTGCTTGCCTGATAACGGTGTTTCCTCTTCTCAAGATGGAACGTGTTTGAGTCAACTTTAGTATTATATATACATCTTTAGTAGGTAAATTTTTTACTAGCGAACATCTTCCATTATGTAGTAATTTGTAGATAAGCCAATACACTGTTAACATCCACGTTTTATGAAATAGATACAAAAACTATATATGCTGCTCATTCGATGTAATGCTAAACACACGGACAGCTTATGGTCTCCTCGTATCTGGACATAGATACATACAGTCAATCTGGTCTGCACCAAATACTTGTTCTAACCTCTATTACCCTCGTACCTTCTGATCGTGTGCAGCATTTAGAATGTACTTGTTACTTGGTAGTCGACAATGGGTTTGCGGGGCGCGCTCCCTAAAAAATTCTCGACACCTGCAGGTCGTAAAACAGAGGGGAGTTGGGGGTTAGGGGCAAGACAAAAATAAAACGATCGCATTGCTTGTACCACTTGTATTAGTAACACTAATACTAATATTGCTACTATGGTTACTTGTACATCTGCAACACCTTTCCGTGGCCCCCGGCCTGTCTGTCTGCCATTGTGAATTGTCAGCGAAGCCGACAAACGGCACTTGACAGGCGTAGACTTCCGCCGCAACAGCAGCGAGCCTTTTGTATAGGCTTTGCCTGCGTGCTACCGAATTACTACTAGCTAGCGTCGTGAGACAGAAGCGCATACGAAGCAGCGTTGTGCCCGTTACTTCACTTTCGGACTGTATCCTCCCTCATATCATATACGTCAAAACCACTTTGTGGCTGTTGGTCAGTTCGACGGAGTTGAGCAACGGGCTTGGGTCGTAACCTGTTTGGCATGAGAGTATTCATAGCAGTCGCCAGACAGACGTCTTACCACCGACAGGTACATCCGGCAAGTGCAGTGATTGTACTAATATCACTAAGCCTATCATAACGGCGTCTACCTACGACCCCACGTACTAACAGCAGTTCCAGCAGAGTAGTTGCTAGGTAAATTTGCATTCTCCTGGCAAACTTGTCTGACACTCTAGCGTCTCAACGCTCTACTTCCGTCCAACGCATTGTATATTGTATAACATGACGCAAAGGAAGCTGCCAGCCGTCGTTGACGCTCACTCATGCTGATGATGGTCGAACAACGACGGTAACAACAACCACATCTGCAACAGTGAGTCTCGACAACCTGGATAGGACGTTGACCATTCTTGAGAGCGGCGGCGAAACTCCTAGCAGCTGCAAGAGTGACAGCAACGAAAGCGACGAGTTACAGCTGCTAGAGTCGCTGCTCGTACTAGCGCACTAAACACTCGT